GATCTGGAAATTTCTGTTTTCTAGTTCTGCTAGAGATTTACTGTGTTGCATCCGGTAAGTCTATTCCTTTGCATCCATATTACTTTAATATGTCTCCCTAAGGAAAGTATGAGAGGAATTACTTAACTGAATGTGGGCTAGCTTTGAAAAACATAGGATTCAATACCACAGCAAACTATACCATTTTTTATGATGCACAGTAAATAGACACTATTAACAGTGAAGTCAATCCATTTGGACTCCCAACTATAAGTATAAACACATGTTCTTATAATTCTTACTTAAGCTGCATGTTGAAGCAAACTAGTATGAAAGTGAAGACAAACGCAGCTCCAGCCGAAAATAAGCAAGAGGACATGGCCTGGGTCCTGCAACTGGCTCCGCCAGTGAAACTGTGGAGTCGGGCTTCATCAACCAATTGAAGTCACATTTGCATTATGCACAAGTTTAAATGCAGTCACCATTAATTGCTCCTGGCTCAGTCAGTATTCAGCATCACAAAGATCTCCTTTCTCTCAACCAAACGGCCTGAAGTCTTCCAACATGACCTACTGACCCTTCAGGGTCAGAAGAGGCCGGTGAAGCCAGCCTTTCCTCACAAAAGTCCCCACCACTGCGACCCGTTTATTCTTATGTGTAAAGCAATGAGCAGACCCCCACCATTACTACTTGGGCGCCGCTCACCGCAGTGGCCTCAACTTCTACAAATACAAAAAGGCTTCCGAGAGGAAGCTTACTTCAAGCTTCTGGGTGAAAAGTAAGCCCACAAACCCAACTCCTCTTTCATCCCACCAACTGCAAGTGACAGGCGGCTGCGCTACCAACCACAAGGCCTCAGAAGAACCGCTCCTTAAAACGAGTTAGGGGGAAAAAAAAAAAAAAAAAGAAAGAAAACAACAACAACAACAACAAAAACAAACAAAAAAAAATACACAACAACAACCAAAAACCCCCCCCACAAACTAAAGCCCTCCACCCAACCGCTCGCTGTGAGAAGGGGCGCAGGCGCCTCAGCCCGCCCGCCCCCGGCGGCCGCGCCCCGGCCCCTCAGGGCCCGCACCTCCCCTCGGCGGGAGCGGCCGCCCCGCCAGCACGTCAGCGCGCCGCCATCTTGGGGGAGGGCAGCCTCGCCCCCGGCGCCTGTCCGCGGCCGAGCGCCGGGGGCCTCGCCGTTCCCCCGCGACACACCGTCCTCGGCAGGGCAGGCGGCGGAGCGCGGGTGGCTGCGGGATGCGCGCCTTCGCCCCTCGCCTCCCCCGGTCAGTACTGCGGAGCCGGACGCCCGGGCCCCGCTCTCTGCCCGCCGCCCATACTCACGCCCCGGCGGTTCGCCCCAGGCGGCGGCAGGAGGCGGCCCGGCCCGGCCCGGCACCTCCCCCGGGACCGCCGGGCGGGGACAGCCGCCGCACCGGGCCGCTCCCCCCCCGCTCGGTCCTCCCCCAAAAGCCTTTATTAAAGGAGCGAAGGCGCGACGTGAGGTCAGCCAGGCCAGAGAGAAGGCACAAAGCTTCACCTTCAGCGGGGAAGAAGCAACCAGGGCTCGAGGCGTGTATCTCGATCAAGCTCAGCCAGCGAAAAAGGGGTCTTCCCCACCTAACTCCTGCTAAATGTGAGCAAGCGTCCTCCTTCCCCGCCCCGAGTCGCTGCTTATTCCCCAGCAGCAGACCCCCTCCCTCACCTCCGCCCTCCCTCCGTGCTGCAGCACTGCTCCCTGACAGCAGGGGAGGGCCTTGCCTTCTCCCCACCTACTCCTGGGGGCCGGTTCCCGCACTGAGCAATTGCCACTACGTGTCTAAATGATTTCACAACATCTGTGAGCCAAAGCAAGGTGCAAGGGGGCTACTGAACCTGTGTCTTCTAATCACATCGGAACTTACTTTAAGTAATAACCTCATGAAATGGCAATACTGTTCTCCTATCCCAATCCTACTAGTTAAATAAAGCCCAAGGAAATTCTGTTCTCATAGGGGCCACACCAAGTTCCTCGCAGCAGATCGTCTTCCAGGACACGCAAACCAAGAGCGTTACCTACTGTTAAGTAAGCAGCGTCTCTTTTTCCACTTTCAGATGACTGCATTTGGAACAAGATAAATGAAGCAAAGTCATACTTCATGGTCAGCTTAAGTAATCAAGCTTGCAATTTGTTGTTTCACACAAATGAGCAGTGTGTCCACTTTATTCCCCCTTGACCCCACTTCATGCAGTGAGTTTTTTACAAAATAGAAAAAAAGCTAACATCATGTAACTAAAAAAATTAATATTTGAAAATGACCACAACCACCACATAATTTGTTACTCCGTTGCACTAGTATCTCTCACTCCTGAAGTGATTTTCTTCTGAGAAATACATCTCAATCACTATTTCCTTAAATTCCAAAGATTTTTAATGGAAAACTATGTAAATTAGTTATTATAGACATGCAGCCACCCGAGTATGGCAATTATTTTATTCAGTGTAGGATTAAGCAGTTAAAAACAAAGTAACCTACACTCCAAATCACACCGCCTTCCTCATTAGAACAGTGTAATATCAAGATCTTCCTACCACTAAGATTACCTAACACTCTAAATAAAGCCCGAATTCAACATATTATGAATATTCTTTCCAAATTACACCAAGTCCCATGAACTTTGATTCTCTGTAGGGCCTAAGTATATCAGGGAGCTTCAAGATTCTGTTCACGATGCTGTAAAAAACATCTTTCTCCACTACCAACTCGATGGCTCAAAGTGAATGACCGACAACAAACCATTCTCATTTCACACAAAGCACAGAGCAATTAAATATTACCACAAAATGACGATAGGGCTATGAGACCATCCCTCAGAGACACAGCCAGAGGAAAGCATTCTCAGCGGAAAAGTTACAACTGATTATCATTTTGAAGCTTTTTGTTGTAAAAGGAGACTACGTACTAACATATGGTGCCATGATAGCCTAGTGACTGCATTCTCATCTTTCTCAAGGTACATTCCTATTTGCTCTCCAAAGAAAAATTAATGATCAAATGACACATTATTTTACCAATTCAAACAGTTTACATTCTGAAAAACACTGAGGCAACCTGGTAGAAGAGGACATCCAGAACATCCAACAAGTGTACTAACTTCACACTGCCACCCTTTTACAATGTTGGTCCATAACAACATGAAGTAAAGCCAGCAACGCTTCTGAAATACACAGTTCAGTAAAACTACCCCATGTGGGAATGGTTCTCTGTCCTCCTACTGGGGTGGGGGAAAGTGGGCAAAAACCCCCTTGACATTTATAGTAATTATCGGGTATGTGAAAGGCAGCACTTTCCTCAGAACACAAAAGTTTCTATAAAATACACAGAACCGTTACTACGTTTAAATCATTAAACCACAGGAAAAAATGGAAGATACCTTTTTTTTTACTTCACTTTTAAAAAATTTGTAAAATTCTACAGAGAATAAAATTGTTCAATTATTCAAAAAACAAGAAATACAAAAAAGAAACCACACCCCCAAATCTTAAAACATTTTTTTGCTTGCCTCGTTACCATCCGGGGAGTGAGATAGCGTGATTTATTTCAAAGTGCTTTGGTTTCAACTACTTCCCATAGGGTGTTCTTTGCTAATCAACTGTTTCTACTAGAGGAAGTAACTAAGCTACTACAGTTCATGCTAACCATTTTCTGATGTACCTAGATGCATCTTTTCATATACAAAATTCCTTTAATTACATAGCATGAAAAACTGTGTATGAATATTCAAGTAGCATTCTACTTTTCCAAATGATTCTTAAATTTAAGATCTAACAACACAGTCTCCAGTTTCAGTTCCTAGTTGTTCATTTTCTCTAGAAGAATCACAGTATGGATTGGTTTTCAGAGTAAAATACTCAAAAAGTGATCTGGACTAAGTCTTGATGAACCATTTGGACATAGCTTTTATTTCTGACATTAGTAAATAAAACTTCATTTATGGCATGCTTCAGAAATTCTTATTTACCTAATGCTAAAACATAAGAAGACAGACATTGGCAAGAACAGATCAATTAGTTTACAGACTACTTTCTGCAGACTGACTCCTACTTTGTATTTTCTTCATTAGTTATAGCTGGCTAACATGTAACCAGTCAGGTTGCTCCCATACATGCTTAGCCTTAGGTACAGAGTGATCCAGCTACCGCTCCCAGTTCACTGTCAACATTTTAACAATCAGGCTGCTTTAAAAAAAATAAAATCTGAAAACAGTAATTGAAATGGCTGCAGGTAAGACTACTTCTGCTGAAAAAAAGTACATAAATTTATCCTGTTTCTTTTTACAGTAGATTTTGTGTTTCTGTATAACCTGAATGACTCCACACATGTAACAAATATATTGATACATACACCCACACAGAATAATATTCACACATCTAGTTCTGCACCTGTAAAAGTTGTGATGCAGAAATTAAGTGCTCTTTTCATTACTGCTCCATTAGAGTTATCTTGCAAATTGGAAAATACTTCATCACGATTCCAGGGATAAAGTAATTATACTACATATTCTCATTTTGTTTCGTAACTCCTGTTTTTATTGATGGTGATAAATGCATTAAGTTTTCAGTAAAAGTTATTACTTCCATTATTTCTAACAGTATTTCAGTGTTGAAAAAGTGCAATTTCTAGGGCCACAAAAATAACCCAAGTAACACAAAACAAGTTCTTGAGACAAAAGTTGAGATAGTCAAGATCAAAGATGCCCAAGTAGATCACAGTTCACACTTGAAATGGAAGGTTATTCTGCCTTTTTGTGAAAGTACATGATCTTTTATACCAGATAAAACCATTTTTGGAAGTTAGTTAACATTTGAACAATATTCCAAAGTGAAAAAATTAACTTGTCCACTCAAAATCTAAATTCTTTAAAAGAAGATCTAACAGGACTTCATCATGGCTCTGTGGAAAATTCTGTTTCCTCAACAATAACGACACTGAAATCTCAGCTTTATGCAGATAAACAAGCTATGATTAAAAAGACACACAGACACCTTCCCCCAAAACAGTGGCCTTCAAATTTTATTCTTTAGCCTTTTTCAAGCTGTCATTATAACTTTACAGTTTGTACAGTATTTTGTGTACAAAGATTCCATGTCCCAAGGAAAAGAATTACCTGTAATAAGATTCCATGTATTACAATATTAGGACTGTTGCATTTGCATCCATGATATTTAAAAAAATCTCTCAGACAAACCATGTAGAAATAAGTATGCAAAAACTGCAAACAAAACATTTGAGTAGCCAAAATTAAAAACACCTTTGTGTGAATCACACAGTCTTGCTCGGTTCCTACTAGGCTATTGCAGCCAAGTAGTCCTTAACCTCAGTTGGAGTAAGCCTCCTAAAACCAGCTTCATTACAGATGCCAACTTCAATGTTGTCTTCTGTCATTTGCCCCTCAAAGCTCTCCTATTAAAGAAAATACAGTTCAGTGAATCATATCAGTGATGTCATAACGGTAAGAAACTTACTTCTTAAATATTTTACTAACCTTTAATGTTAAGATAGCTGTATGAATGGCATCTTCAAGCTCCAAATCTTCATTGTATCTGTAAACAGAAGTCCCCATATTTCAGCATGGGACAAACATCTTTCCAAATCTTAATAATCCTAGGGTCTCTAAAAACCCAAACACTACTGAAGTCTTCCTGTTTCTCATACAAATATTATTTGTAAGCACTGTGATATTAATAGTGAAAGTTATTATTTGTAGAATAATGCACTACTTTTCCTACTGACACCCTACAGAACAATATTTCTGCAAATATGTTGAATATGTTTATTGCACTGAAAAAATTCTCCATAAACACAAAAGCTGGAGTAAACTGGAAACATACTATCTTAAGTATTTTAAAACTTTGTTCCTTTCAGACAAGTATCAAACATGTTACCTTTTTTCGAGGAAAGTCTTCCCATTAACGTAATTTTTTCCCATTGCTGTTGCTTTCCACGCAAAGTAAGCTCCCTGTAAAAGCAACAATCCATTGGATTGTTTTGTGTAAGTTGGTCAAATATTATGTCTTCAATTACTGGGTAAAAACTATGGAAACAACTATGAAAATACTGAATGAGAATATAGGAGACTATTTTGGATCACATTCAGACTAATTTGATATGGAAACACATGCTGTTAAATTGTACAAAGTGTTTGTATAGGGCCCCACCTATTTTCATCCTCCCACTACTTTGAAAGATGAATTTAGTAAGTCATTAGCATAGTCTTTATTTGGGATTCCTTAAACAGAAATAGTATGTCTGCCCTTGAGAATGAATACAGACAGGTATTTCCTGAGGTTCGCTCCATACAGCCTTCTTTTTTAAGATTAAGTTACATAAACAATTTCCTCCAAACTGGCCATCCGATTTCTTAGCTACTAATAGGTTATTTAGCCTTCACTTCACTTCTCTCGTCTGGCATGAAGGCCATCAGCAGTTCTATGCCTCAATCAAGATGCCTTACAAGACATCTGCATTTTGCTTTTTACATTTAAGCATCAGGTAGTAATCAAAATTTCTGAAGCATATCAGGGATCACTACAGTGACAACATTTTTTTGCCTGATGTAAAGTGTTACAACTCACACATGCATCAAAGGGTGGTTTTGCAGAAGTGCAGTGCAAACAGAGCAAATTAACTCACTTAAATTTACCACTGTCATTAAAGGATATGCATTCTATTTCACAAGGCAATAGATTTTTGCCTAACTTCCATCCAGTTTAGGGAACAACTATTTGAGCAGCATAAGCAGTCAAAGTTTTCTTCTGGTACCTAACTGCAGAATGCTACTCTTGCTGTCACTAACAACTAGGTGGGAAGACGTGCAAAGGGATGGTGATCTCCCTCCAAAAGCAGCTGGCATCCCTCAAGCAATACAAGAACATGCAGGCACAGAACTATCCAGGCTTGTTCCAAGCACCCACTGAAATTGGCTTATTCTGACTTCTGAAGTTAATGGATCTTTTGTTCTACTCCAGATTGTTCTTCTCATCACAGAAAGTATTTCATGAGCACATATAAAGTTTTGGGTGTTTTATAAAAGCAGTAGAATTTACAAACGTAAGATACTTACAGATGGATCCGACTGAAATAAATACGGCCGCCCTTCATTCCAGCCACATATTAGCAGTGATACACCAAATGGACGAACACCACTAGAGGCAATAAAAAAAAATAAAATCAAGAGTTAATAGGTGAAATTTATTCTGTGAAAACCAAATGCGACTAAATTATTTTGGATGTGTTAACCTTCCTCAAAACGCTTCCCACCAGCCCAAAGCTGTGATCAGGAATGACCAAACAAAAATATGCTGCCTTGTCCCACCTGCTTGTTTGCAAGGTATGAAGATTCCATCTCACCTGCTGCCAGCTAGTGCTCCTCCCACTGGCCCACTTTCTGTGGACATTCTCCACTGAAAAACTTAGTGCCACTTTCACACAAAAAATTTCATCACCGGGTAAGTGTTATTCCTTACATTTAAACAACATAATCTTTCTATGCAACTTCAAAATTCAGAAAACCACATACCCAGACTGCGTGTATTCCTGCATCACAGAAGCAATTCTCTGTACTAGCTGAGCTGTTGGAATGGGCTCATGATAAACCAAGTAATATTGCTGGGCCAGCTTCCGAGCTCTGTGCACAAGTACTCTAAAAACAAAGACAAAATTAGTATGTCAAAAATATTCCAACTAGTTGTTACAGCTAGAAGTGAAAACTCATGATAAGTACTACGCTAAGGAATCATACATCAGGCATAACACCAATGTAAGAAAACACAGACTGTGCTGGATTATCTTTATCAACTGAGTAATCTCGGAAATACATAAACTGAAACTAAGGTTGAACTACACTGCCATTCATTTCCTCCTTGTTCTTTAGATAGAAGGTTATTTAATAAGGTATTGAATATATTAAGAAAAACTTACAAATTAATTTCCTATACAGGGTAATTCAATGTAATATTATGCCATACACTTAGAAAGAAACAGCTAATTTCTATCTGTTTCTGCTTCTTACGTTTCTTGTATGAAAATGCACCTGAAAGGCAACCAAACAATATTTTTTAATACCTGTAATCTGGACCCATACCGCTGTACACTAAACCTATGTGTTTGGTAATTGGTTCTACTTTGTGGACACTCCTTTCATCATAAAGAATGGATTTCTGCTTCTTCTCAGTTGCCAACACCACTCCATTTGCAGCTGGAAAGGAACAAGATGTTGTTGGGGTTTTTTTCTGTATTAAACTAAAATTATGAAAATTATGGAAAGCAGTGAAACCACAGAACAAGTTTATCAGACTGTAAAGAATTTTGCTCCTCCCTTTTTAAAAAACCCTTCAAGTTTATAATAATGTTAAAGAGATACTTTGATGAGTCCATCCAACACATTGTTTTTCCTTTTAAATAATCATACAGCTTCCATAATCCCATTCTAAAGATTGTGAAACATATATTAATGATTGAGCAATTGAAGGAACTTTTTGTGTAATATCTATATATATGAACACACAGATGGAGTTATTTACATAAGAGACAGGAACACTTGAAAAAAAAGATGTCTAATTCTACCAGCTGAGTTTCCAAAATCACCCAAGCAATTTTATTCTCTTAGTATGGAGCTCTATGCTCTCTTCCTTCTTTGTAAGAAATTATTAAATTGCAGGAAAAAAAATAAATATTAAACCCACTAAAACATGTGAACATCCACTGAAAGAATGTCAAAATATGTAATAGAAGGCAAGGTGAAGAAAGACCCAGTGCATATTCCGAACTATTTTAGTTCTCTGAAATGATACTCAGAATCCTGAATCTTCACTAAAGTAGTTATTTTGTGAACATACCTTTAATCCCAACTGATGGAGCTCCTGCAGCCACTGCAGCCAAAGCATATTCAATCTGAACAAGCTTTCCAGAAGGACTAAAAATGAAAATGCAGAAGTAAGCCTAACATAACTCTGATATGCTCAAATCTTTCCAACAGCAATCTGATGCTAACTTGCTTTTTTAAGCCTCTTTACACCTAGCATCAGCATATTGTAATCAGATTTTAAAAAACAAACCAAAACCAAAACAACCCCACAACTCTGCAGATTCATAACAGCTTCTAAAAGAACTGGACTGGCACAGCACAGAACTCACGGTGCTTTTGGAATACTCACACAGCACCTGCCTACAACCGCGGTGAAAGCAAATGTGTCTCAGACTGGGGGCAGTGACTAGGATGCAAATTGGAGGAGGACAAGTCTGTTCTCCAAGTTTATACCACTTCAATTAAATTTTCTACTCAGTGGGAAAAATCTTCAGAGCACGTCATGACCTTCTACTGAAACATCATTACATGTGTGGTTTGCAAAAGTTCAAGACACTGATGTTGGCTGCTGAAAGGTAAAAGCAAAACACTGCTACTCTTTTTCACTGACAAGCACACATCAGGTCAATGGCAGAAGACAGAAAGAGCTCCCATTTCATCCCCAGGTATTCCTGCATTTTGTTTTAATGATCCATGCCTTTCTGGTAACAGATGCAGAATCATCAGAAGAGAGCAGCAGGTGTCAGGCTGACAAAGTAACTCATCCAGAATGAGGGGATCAAGGGGTTCACTCTTGATCCCCAGGGAAAAGGACAGTACAGAGCCAGTCACTCATTGAACAAGTGATTTTGCAAGTGGGATCTGTTCTCTGGGCTGCATTTCAGACACTGTTGTTTTAATAGATGCAGTAATAAAATGGAAAATTATGTAACCCGGTGCTTAGAGAAGTTAGAAAATACAAAGCAAGCAATAATCAATTAGTGTAGTTAGTTATACACTGAGTAAACAGCATATAAAGGTGACAAAGGTAATAATTATAGCCCCTTCACTACAAAATACTAACAAACCAGAAAAACAGTTTCCTATACTAGCAGTTAAAATATAGAGAACATTTGCAAAATATTTTAAACATAAGCATAAACTAAAAAAATTAAGTCTCAGTACAAATAACAGGTGAATGAAGGAGAGCATAAGTAAGTGTATTCTATTCAAATGGCTTTAAGTTTCAGAGCATGTAGTGCTTTTGTACAGTACAAAAAGTCTGTAACTCCCTTAGAAAACCATTTCCAAGAGCTAATAAAAAATTCAGCCCACTTGAGTAAAGCAGACATGTTTGGCTGCATCCATCCATTAAGAAGATTCTTTTCCTAGTTTTAGATTGTGAATTGCTTCATTTGCTTAACTGCAACAAGCCTTTAGTAACCCAGTTTGCAATTACACAGCATTACTCTCTTCTAAGATTAAGGAAGCACTTCACCAAAAGCAGCACAAGGATTCTTGCATTCAGTTTTTCTTTTTATATGTATAATTCTGGATAACTTAATAGTTTCATCCAAAAAAGAATGGAAAATAATTTCCTTTATTCTGAATCAATCTTAGGTGTATGTATTAGAGCTGAACCTTAATAGATACCACTCCAACAGCATATTCTTCCTATGCATGGAATCACCCCACATCTAGGCTGTGCCCAACGCCAAGAGTACCGCCTGCAAAGCACAGTGGGAAGGGAAATAAACTACTTAAAGCTCATCTGAAAGCTTCTCTCGTTACCATATCTGCAAAGTTTGCCCTGAAGCAAGCTCTCGAGATACCACAGTTCAGCTATCACCACACGTTTTCCGTTAGCTCAGGATTACTGCCCAGTCCAAAGCGTGTGCGTGGACGCCAAGTTCGCTAAAGCCTTTCACCAAGCACTCGCTCTATGGCACCACCAACGACCAGACTGGCCCCACGGTGACTCCGACTGACAGCAACGAGAGAAACCACGAGCCGCAACTGCACTCCGTGCCCGCCTCAGCCAAAGGCGCCTGACCCCGCTGCTTTCCCCGGGCCTGGCTCTGTGGACACGCCATGACTCTGCAAAGTCCCCGCTCCGTCCTACCCCACCACCGGGCGACCGCCCCGCGTAGGCTGTGCGCCGGCCTCCCCCCTGGCCCGCCGAGAGGCCGGGCCCGCACAACCTCTTCCCTTCGGGCGTACCTGAAGGTGGTGAGGGAGAAGCTGTAGCCGCGCTCCGCCATTTTGGAGCAGACCCCGCCGCTTCCCGCAGCGGCTCCTTCTGCGCAGGCGCCGCCGCCCCTCCCGCCTCCCGCACGTGGGCACGGCGAGCGCGCTGATTGGCGGAGAGGTGGAGACGAGCGGGGGCGAAGAGGCACGCGATTGGCGAAGGAGACCCGCGGCGAGGCATGCTGGCAGTGGAAGCCCCCTCCCTCCCCTCTGGCAGCGAAAGGAATGCTGGGGCATGAAGTCCTGGTGGCTGCCCTAGCCGTGCCGCGAGGTGCTTCGGGAACTTGGTTTCCCAGAGGGCTCCGCGACCGACGCGCATGCCCAGTGCACCCTCGGGGGAGCGACCGCCTTCCTCCTCAGCGGGGCTGTGTGGGAGCATGGCGGTTCTGCTGCTGGTTTTCCCTTCGCTGCCGCGGCTTCACGGGCTCCTTCAGCGCTGCTGGGGGCGGCTGGAGTGCAGCCTCTCGCCGGGTTTCTCCGGGGGCCGGAGCCCACCCTGGGGTTGGTAATGGCTTAGTCCCCTCCCGGCTGAAGGAGAACGCGGCATCGGGGCTGCGCGGTCCCTTTGTACTGTTGAACGGCGGAGGCAGGGCTCTGGGCCAGGACAGCGCGCAGCAGTGAGGGAAAAGGGCGGGAGGTGGGGAAGTCAGCAGCAGCCGCGTCTTATTTCCTCGCCTGCACGCGAAAATGGGGCTTGGCTGTAATGAATTACCTGGGGTTTTTTTAATTCTTTTTTCTTTTCCCTTCAGGACCAGCACTAGCTGTCCAAGCTCCAGCTTTTCTTCCAGAGCCAGTTAGCGATGCTAGAGAAAGTAATGAGGCGCCTGGCCTCTTAGATAGCATCTTATGGATGGCAGCACCAAAGAAAAGACGCAGCATTGAGGTGAACCGTTGCAGGCGCAGAAATCCCAATAAGCTTATACCAGTAAAGGTAATCACTAAATTCCCATGGACTGCAAGTAGTTTTGTTAGTGGCAAACGGGCATGGTAGAGTAAGATTTAGAGCAGTCATTCTTCATCTCGCTTATTTTAGAGAATCATTATAGTGGTCAATACTAACTGAAAAAACTTTCTGGAATTTCTTTATAAATAAGCTTAAAAGACACTGTAATCTTCAAATTATTTTGTAACAGGTATATTCATCCTATATGACAGTAGTCTGTAGTGAAATAAACAGTGACAGGTTAGGTGTAAGACAACAAAGTGTGAATTTTAGATAAACAGCTGGTATAAATGGAAAATATTTATACTTTCTATGTGTCAAATTGAGTTGATAGGTCTTTAGTCTTCCAAACATCAACAGGCATAATGACTTAGATATTCATTTCATAGATTCATTTTAATAGTAAGCATGTGGCAAAGCAATACGTTTCAGAAAAATTACTTAGAAGAAAAGTGACTTAGAATAATAAATTTTGAGAAGGTAGTTGAATTTCTCTGGTTTTTCATTTAACGTCTTTAGTAGTTTGTGATTGTTCCCTGTTTCTTTTGTTGCTATTGTTCAAATTACAAAATTTCCTGGTTTCCCCTGCCTTTTTTTAGAGGAACATAGATGTATGTCCTGAGTGTGGAAACTTGAAACAGAAACACGTCCTTTGTGGCTACTGTTATGCAAAGGTCAAAGCAGAAACTCAACTGATAAGGATGGAAATACGTAAAAAAGAAGGAGGACCATTTAATACTCCAACTGTAGAGACGGTTGTCCTTTATGATGGAGAAAAGCCCACGGAAGAAGATAAAAGCAAGCGGATCATTGAAAGAGCCAGGAAGCGTCCATCTTGGTTTGTTCAAAATTGATGCTATAGACCTAATGCTAACAAAACCAGCAAGGAATATGATTGTCAAGAATGTTTTCCTCATTTCGCTCACTCGATGTTGATAGAGGAAACCTGGGAACTTTTGGGAAGCCCACTTGATTTGCATGTCATGCGGTATGGTTTTGCAGTCACGTGGTGTTTCGGTGGCATGCGGTGGGAAATGCTTCTCAGTGATGCATCACAGCAGTCAGCAGTCAAAGAGAAAACACCATCTACCTTGGGTTTGGACACCTGCATACACTATACTGAATATATGCTAATGTTCTGTGATGATTTTGTAAATAACTTTTTTTTTAACAAAGGGAAAACATTCACAGATATAAAATAAAGTATGCTAAGTTCCCCAGGGAAATCGGCTTTCTGGTTTTGGCTGTTACTCTTTTCCTGGGTGGGGGGAGGGGGAGAGTTGAAAACCAATGTCAATTAGATACTAAGTATATTTGCAAGGAAGGATACAGTTACCTGGTTATTTCCATGGCTTTTAACAGAGTCTGCCTGGTCTCCACAACACTGCTTTTTGAGATACTGGGTGTACTGGGTGATATTCCTGGTTTTGAGCAAAATAGCGATTGCCATGTAGTATTCATGCTTTTTCTGTAACCGGACTGAATGTTAAGTGTTTCTTGATGTTGTCAGTGTACAAAACAATTTTCCGTCTTTATGGGTTAGGGAAAGCCTTTTTTTTTTCCTTCCACTCAAAGTACACTTGATGTCTTCAGTGAAATAACAAATTGAAATGTAATCACTGGAAATCTGTGAATTTCACAATGGTCAAAGCTGATGTTTTGCAGTCATTGCCATTAAGTAGTCAGGGTAGTCAGTGTGTGCTTGGAAAACCAGAACTAACAGCAGTGCCTTCCTGTCTTAAGTCTTCTATGCAGAGGGGGCAGCTCTGCTCTCTGCTGTCCCTCAGTACCCTGCAGTGGCACAGTTAGAGCACCCAGCTCTGGGTTTTCACTTTGGTTTTAGCCACACAGTAGCACCATTGCATTTAAAAATAAGACTGTTTTGAATTTTAGGTTGGGCTTTCAATATGCAAGCAGTACTGTGATGTTATGGCTCAGCCAGTGTAATAGCTCTTTGCTGCCCAAAAATGCAAGCCTGCTCCTAACCCTGGCAAGGTTGACCCTGTGTTTTCTTGGTGCTTGAGTGTTTCTGCTCCTGTGCTGGTTCAGGGAGCTACACTGACAAAGAACTCTTCCCTGGCTTTCTACACCTTGGTTTTTAGTGGGTACCTCCTGTAGCTTGACTCCTGTCAGGATCAAAATAAGTAACAATATGGACAGTAGGAATATGAAAATGGTGGGCACAGGACCATGCTTTCCAGAACAGCCTTTGTACGTGGCTGAGCCAATTATACCTGCTCAAGGAGTGGGCTCGTGTGCTGTAACATTTCACTTCTGCTTTCCTTTCTCTGGATTCCATGTTCTGAAACAACTGGTAGGAACAGATGTTAGTTGAGATGTTATATTTCCTCCTTATTCTAAAGGAGTGATGAAAGCTGATAAGTCTAAGTCGATGCCATCTAGTTGACGATATCTAAGCAAACAAGATAAGTTCTTTTCTATTTGTCCAAACAGGATTTATTCCAGTCATACCTGTTTTTCACTTACTCAGAACTGAAGCCAATAAAAGGTGGCAAGCAGGATGCAGAGGAAGGCTTGCTTTTGACAGAGCTGCATGGGATGAGACTGATGCATTGGAGGTGAGATTAGCCAAGCAGTAAGACAGGTCTATTGTCCTGAGGGAAGGGTGTGTATGCATTTTTAGGGAGAGGTGAGGTTTTTTTGTTCCTTTGTCCACATATCGGACCATTTACACGTTACTGTCCTAGTTGCTTTTTATATATTTATTTTTTTGACAAAGGTTCTGTAGAGAAATAAGTTAAACTAGCACGGGATGTTGAGAGTCATGGGTTAATTTCTCAGAAACACAGAGGTATTTAAAAAAAAAGACTTTCTAAATACGAGAGACAATATGTGGTTTCTGCTAATGCAGTAATAATTATACTTGGCAGTATATTACATTAGTTTTTTGAATTATAGTGTCAGTGAAGCAATGAAGATGCTTTACAGCGTTCTTATGAAACATGAGTGAAGTTATGCTGTGTCAGCATGAGACATTTTAAGATACTTGCTAGGTGATGATTCATTTCACAGCCATACTGCTCATGTTAGTACTGCATTTGTACAATCCCGACAAGAAGAGATGCTTGATAACGTTTCATAGTAGTTTCTGAGTAATGTAAGGGAGAAAAAGTCATTAAATTATCTGGTTATTATGGTCTCTAAAAGAAACAATTAGAAACAACTGACAAATATTGAAGATTTGTATATGCAATTGATATCGTACCAGTTAATTTTCCAAAAAATAAAATATCTTCAGTGAGAGTCAGAGCAGTTTTGTTTGAATGACTTGTCCTTCAAAAGAAAAGGAAAGCTCACTTTCCTAGCTTCATTTTACTAACACTGACAATACAAAGCTCCATTAATTAAAAAAAATAAAAAAGATTTCCAGAATTCCTCTAAAACATGGCATATCTGTTACTTGAAATAAACCCTGTTTATATGTAGTTTTGAAAGAAATATAAATTGCAATAGTGCTAATATATAAACATACACTTTTTGAAGCAATGTAAATTAAAACTAACAAAAAGCAAGCTGGTTGTTAGAAATGCTGTACTCCAGAATCCATTTAAAACCAAAAATTATATGCCTTGGGAATTTCACATTGATACATTGGGAACCTGCTAGTAGTTGAAAAAGGCATTAATTTTTGTCTGAAATTTTAATATTATTAAATACATGCCATATTTGATTATGTTTTTCTTCTGTAAGGATTTTATGTTAAAATTATTTTATTTTAAGAAAGAGCCATGAAGATGAGGTAATATCCTAGAACACAAGGATGCCAGTTGCTAAATGATTTTGTATCATAAAGTCTGCAGAAATAGACGTGATGTCTCACAGTGATCAATTATGATATCCATAGAGGTTGATAAACCAAGTTTCTCTTTAATCTCCCATGTAGCTAGGAATTTTTAATAAAAGGTTTCTGCACAGTCCTCATCTATTCCTTTGAACACAATATGCCAGGAAGAGCTGGCGGTTGCTATGAAATATACTTCTTTACAGCACTAGGTGGCAGAGGAGTGTAACTTTCTGGTAGGTGCAAAATAAAAGCCAAAGAGCATTAGTGAGCTAGGAAACAGTGTCAGATTCAAGAAATTTGCACCTGTGTAAGCAAAAGATCTGCAAAAAGACTAAGTTTGCCAAGTAGGAAGTAAAACACAAGAGCTGTTATAAGACACAAGCTGATCTATTGTAATTCATTGTTTCAACTAAATTTAATTGGTTCTATACTGAGAACTAACGTGCTGTCTCTTGTGCATGTTTATGCACTTCTGCTCTTTGCCTGGTGAATTATTTGAAATTGCAGTTGTACCTATCATTTTTCCCTAACGAGGTAGTGGAGCTCTTTTTACACCTCTTAATTACAGATGGATTTCTGTGTTGCTTTGTATGCCTAGTATATTCAGTTAGTTGACATTTTATTTATGCGGCTAGAAAGTCCTGCAAATAATAGGTCTGGCGGCATTCCAGTGAGTTTCAAGGTGTAACTGCCTTGAATTTGTAGAGTCATAAGGATCAATTTGCAAACAACAGACATAGAATGGAAAGAAAACCAAACTAGTGTGGTGTTCAAGTGAATATTAGTTGCTTAGAAGGGCATAGAAGATGGTGTGCTCCATCAACGTTTTAAGATGTTTTGGAAGCACATCAGTGATGAAGGTGCCTGCATCTTCAGAACTTACTTATAAGATACTAGCAAAAATCCTTCTTTTACCTCACATGACTGCATTGTGTAATTTGTACGGTGAATGACAATCAGTAATTACAAGTTGTTTCCAGATACTTTGCTTAACTCAACCTGCTAAAGACTTTAAGAATGGGGCCAAATGGGAGGAAAATCAGTGAAAGGAATGAGAAGGAAGTAGGCCATGTAGCAGGGATGGATCTAGTTTTACTTACTCTATGTGTATTTCTAGGAAATTCTGTTGAAGTCAGTGGAGTGTAATTCAAGGCAGAATTTGGTCCAGTGTACTGGAACCCTGGACATACAGATATATGCAAGTACGTACAGATTTTTAATGCAGAGCATATACCTGTGAAACTTGAAACTACTGCTGAATACCAACAGGATTGGGTTTACACCTGAAAACTAAGGTTGCATTTGATGAATGTAGTAAATTAAGTCTGATCTGTTAATACTTGAATTTCTATCAAACATCCTATATTTCAGTTCCTTCTGGTTGAGGACAATGTGCCTATTTAGAAGAAGGGGTATAGGACTCATTTCATATTGAATGTGCTGGATAAACATGAAAAGCAAAACTGAAACTGCTCTGGAGCAGAAAACCCAAAACAAAAGCTTTTGTGGAGTTGTCAGTGTACAATATTTGGCAGGGATTTCTCTAAAGCCTCACTATTGGAGCATGTGATTTTTTTTTTTTTTTTTTTTTTTTTAAATAAAGCAGATTTCCTGCTTTTAAGATGGTAGGTCAAAGACAGAGAAGCAAATATTTGGAAAATCACTAGGCAGAAAACCAATCATATTATTTTTTTCTTAAGTGTCATACCTTCTAAAGCCATGGTATGATTTTGAAAATTTGGGATATACTTAGTGTGTTCTGATCATCCAAATACGCAAGCATCTGCTCTTTCCCTTGGTTTCCTGAAAGGGTCCAGACTCTTCTCTGTACAAGGTGGTTCTGACGGAGTTGTTCTCACAGCACGAGCATATAGGAATGTTTTGCCTGACGTGTCCTGTGTATGAGTTTGATTAACCTTTTGTGTGTCCTAAATCTGGGACCAGCTCACAAGGCTCAAGAGGAATAGGCCCATTAACTGCGGTGTGTGTCACGGTGTAGGAAGGACAATCAGTCCCTACTTACACACCTGACATAGCTCTTACATCCATTCCCAAGGTCCACTGATGCTGTTTCTATTCCCAGCCCTATCACCTAGGCTCATCAGCTTGTCTAGAAATAGGGCTTACAGCTCTATTTTCCATTATGGTGTAGCTCTACAGCACATTCTGTGAAATTCTTCCAGTGGAATTAAGGATTTTGAACAGGCTATTGGAAAGATGTAGGTTGAATTTTATAATCTGAGATTAAATTAAAAACAAAGAATAGTGATTTTAAAGGAACTATATTGAATAGCTTAAGGCTCAAAATTGACAGACTAGTCTTGTAGGAGAGGTTTGTTGTACATATATTGGGTTCGGAAGTTCCTACTCGTTCACCTTTTGGCTGTTCCTACTCAGTCATAATCAGATCAAGCAAAGCATTTAA